CTGCAAGTGGGGCATTGGGTCAGTATGGACTTCAGATACATCAGTGCATGATAACCAAGAGCCTCCTGTATTACCATAGTCACCCAGTGCCCGGCACTCTGTGCAGTGTAATCATTGTGATGGATGGCACCTCACCTCTTCACTGTCCTTCACATTTGCCCTCTTTCAGTTTTTTGAACAGGACATCCTCATTCCCGCTCTGGGGCTTTGCTCACAGTGTGATGTCCACACTTAATTCTGCCCGCTTCGCTCCTGCTTGTCTTTCCTGTCTTGGTGTGGCATCAGCGACCCTCTGCAGGTCCTGCTCATTGTCTCTCTGAACACCCCATCCTCTTCTTTAACTAGTCTCCCACTTCTGCCCTTACAGCACGAGCCCCACTCCCCATCTCCACACCCTGCTTTTTGTTGTCATTGAATACTTAATTTTTAAATTTTTTAAAAAAATACTTTTGGTTTAAAGTGAAGTTGTAAATATAGTCCAGAGAGTTCCTGTGCAACCTTCACCCAGGTCCCCTGATGCAAACATTGTACACAACCATGTCAAGACTAGGAAATGAATATGGGCATAATACAGATTTATTTGGCTTTCACCAGTTTTCCACTAATGTCTTTTTTTTCCTCCTACTGTTCTAGAATCCATCCAAGATCCCACATCTCATTTAATTGTCACGTCTCCTTAGTCCTCGCTGATCTACAACAGTTTTTCAGTCTTTCCTTGTTTTTCAAGATCTTGACGTTTTTTAAGAAACGTGGTCACATATTTTGTAGAGTGTCCCTCAGTTTGGGTTTGTCTGATGTTTCCTCTTGATTAGACTGAAGCTATAGATTTTGGAGAGACTACCACAGAGGTGATGTCAACAAGCTATCAGCATGACTCATTACCAGTGATGTTAGTGACCACTTGCTCCAGGCGGTGTCTGTCAGTTACTGTTTCTTTCTTTCCACACTCTGTTCGTAAGAAGCGAGCCATGAAGTTGAGCTCACAAGCTAAAGCACTTATATCAAGTACCACACTATACATTTCACTCCTCTATCTTATTCTTCATTAATTTCCACTTTATTGTCTCTCCACACTAGCATGTAAGCTCCATAAAGTCAGAGATCTTTGTTAGTTTTCTTTATTTATTTCCAGCATCTAGACTATTCTGGGAGCTCTGGTAGCATAGTGGCTAAGGCACTTGACTGCTAACCAGAAGGCTGGCGGTTCAAACCCACCAGCCACTCCTCGGAAGGAAGGTTGGGCAATCCTACTTCCGTAGTGATACTGCCTCGGAAACCCAAGGAGGGGTCGCTATGAGTCAGGGCTGACTCGACGGCACATAACAACAACAACAACAACAGACTATTCTAGACCCATGGTGGACACTTGGTAATACCTGCAGACAAAATGAATAACCCTTGTCACAGTGTGTTTGCCTGGCTCTTACCAGGGCTTGTGTCTGCTGGGCTCACCATTAGGCCCCCAGCCCTGCTCCTTGCCTGATTCCTACCTAGTAGGCAATCCATGAACAACCGTTGAATGAGTGAGCTGAGGTCACGTGTTGGTTCTGTATGGTTGTTAGTTGAGGCATGAAGAATTTCACCCTGAAAACAAAAGCCTTTCTTTCTAGTTTGGATCTCTGGAAGGAGAGATAGGGAAGGAGTCCTGGGCCCTAGCACTGTCTTCCTGCTTTCTCATTGTAATACAGTTTACAAGGAATGTCCAAGAGGCCAGAGAGAGACAGGAAAGTGGACTTCCTAAGAACAAGAGTGAACTTGGCAAGAGCTGCAGGAACTCAGAGGAGGGGGTGCTAAGAAAGCAGAGCCCAAGGGAACTGTCACACCTGTATCTTTGAACATCCTACAGACCTGTTACCTGTTCAACCACTCACCACTCAGAGCAAGATGCGGATGATGGTCTATCTGAGGAAAGGGTGGGTGGTGAGGAAAGAGTTGGTAGAGGCATTGGAAAAGGAAGTGTGGAAGGGTGTGAGGGTCCCCTAGAAGTTTGAACAGAGATATCTACAGATCTTCAGGTGGGAGAATGAAGGGCAGGAAGGTGTCTAGAGGGGACACTCATGGTGTGGCTTGGATGACAAAATTACCCTGAAATCAAGTACCCTGACCCTGAACTGCCAGCTACCATCTGCTCATTTCTCCTCGTCCTCTTCACCTCCTGTACCAGGTCCAGACCAAGGTCTCCTTGATTCCTGTGTACACCATGGCTCACATGATACCATACTTTATTGATGCCCTTTAAGTTCCTTAACTGTTCCCAAATCTTCTTCGTACTTGGTTGAAATGCTACTGTCAAGGGTTGAATTGTGTCCCTAAAAAAGATATGTGAAGTCATAAGCCCCCTTCAGATAGGGTCTTTGAAGGTATTATCAGTTAGGTTAACATGAAATCATACTGGAGAAGGTTGGGTCCTAAACCTACATGGCTGGTGTCCTTGTAAAAGAGGAGAAGAGACACAGAGACAGAGAAGGGGCCATGCGACTATGGGGGAAGACACAGCTACAAGCCAAGGAACACCAGGGATTGCCAGGAGACCAGAAGCTGGGAGACAGGCCGGGGACAGTTCTGCACCCAGAGGCCTCCCTCAGAAGGAATCAACACAGCCAACACTCTGAATTCTAACCTGTAACCCCCAGAACTGTGAGACAATAAACTCCTGTTCTTATAAGCCACCCAGTTGGTGGTATTGTACCACATAGGGCCCTGATTCAACAGTAACTGGTTTTATTTCTCAGAAGAAAGACCTTGTCCTGAGAGCTAAGGGTGGCTCTGGAGTCTGTCCGGAGGACAAAATCCTTGTTCCACCATTCACAAGGTGTGTCACCTGGGCAAGCCACCTAATGTCACCAAGCCTTGCCTTCTCCATCTACAAAATGAGGATAATAATTGTCCCAGCCTCAGAGGCATATTGTAGGGTTATATTGATTCCACCCAGAAGTGCCTTGGAGGAGAGGACTGGAAATCTACCTCCAAAAGACATCCATTGAAATCCCTATGGAGCATGGTTCTATCCTGACACACTTGAGGACACAGTGAGTCAGAGTTGATTTGGTGGCCAAACCCAAACCAAACCTACTGCTGTTGAGTCAGTTCCAACTCACAGCAGCCCATGTGTTACAGAGTGGAACTGCTCCATAGAGTTCTCTGGGCTGTCATCTTCAATCTTCGTGGAAGCAGACTCCTAGGCCTTTCTTCTGCAGTGCCGCTGGGTGGGTTTGACCCCCAACCTTTAGGCTAGTTGTCAAGTGCAAACAGTTTGCACCACACAGGGCCCTGATTCAACAGTAATTACGTTTATTTTATTTTATTTTTTGAAATTTTTTTGTTGTGCTCTAGTTGAAAATTTAGGAGCTCTGGTAGCATAGTGCCTAAGGCACTTGACTGCTAACCAGAAGGCTGACTGTTCAAACCCACCAGCCACTCCTTGGAAGGAAGGTTGAACAATCTACTTCTGTAGTGATACTGCCTCCGAAACCCAAGGAGGGGTTGTTATGAGTCGGGTCCCACTCGAAGGCACATAACAGCAACAACAGTTGAAAATTTGCAAAGCAAATTAGTTTTCCATTCAATAGTTTGTACATCAAGTGTCCCATGACATCGGTTGTGTTCCCCACAATGTGTCAGCCCTCTCCCCATTTCTGCCCTGGATTCCTCTTTTCCTTTCTGCCCCTTCCTGCTTTCTTTTATCTTTGTTTTTGTACAAACATTGTCCTTTTGATCTCCCATAACTGATTGTTCTAAGGAGTAGTCCTCTCAGGTGTTACTGTTTATTTTATGGACTTGCCTATTGTTTGGCTGAAAGGTGGTTTCTGGGACTGGCTTCAGTTCCAGGTCCTAAGGGTGTCTGGGGGCTATCATCTTGGGAGTTCCTCCAATCTCCGTCAGACCAGTAAATCTGGTCCTTCATGTGGATTTGAATGTTTGTTCCACATTTTTGCCCAGCTCTGTTTGGGACTATTTGTTGTTATCTTAGTCAGAGCAGTTGTTAGTGGTAGCCAGGCACCATCTAATTCTTCTGGTCTCAGGAGGCAATTGGTTTAAATGTGCCTATGATGTGAAGTCCCAGCACCAGGTCTGGAGCACAGTAAGCTGTTATTGTCACCATTCTCAGAGGTGTGTAATGAGGACAATGACACTCGAGTTTGCAAATGCTTTATTGTAACTGCCACCACTACAATCCAAAAAGTTAGTCATCAGTGCCACCAATCGGGACTCTATTACTTTCAGTGGGTCTCCGTTCCCCACTGCTGCCAGACCCACGAGATTGTCCTTAGCCCTCAGAATGGCACAACCCTGCTACAGACCATTTCTGCCTACTGCCCACTTGCTTTTCTCAGAGAACAAACAGCACCTGAGTTTATTGAAATCATTTGCTTTCAGGACATGCCTTAGTCTCTCTACATCATTTCAAGGGTTCGTTTAGTTTAGGTGCCTTAGGAATGCTTGGAGGACCCCTTGTCCTGATCCATCATTGTATACGTGGGGATATGAGGTCCAGAGAGGGACAATGTTACCTCAGTGTCACAAAGCTGGCTAGGTCTGGGACAGAGGCCTGTTTCCCCACAGTCATGTGAGTGTTCTTTCCGACTCATGATGAACTAACAGCTGGTATTACTGATGGATGTGGGACTAGGCTTGGAGATACGTTTCCTGGTAGCCCTCATCTATGGGACAGCCTTCCTATTAGGTGGCAATGGCTTGGGCATCAGAGATCTGGGTGTCTGGGCCTCTCTCCCACTGATTTGCTGTTTGACCTTGGGAAAGTCACCCAGCCTCTCTGGGCCTCAGTGAGAGCAAGATTAAATGTTCTCCAAGGTGCTCCAAGGGCACTCGTGTCTTGAGATTGTGTGGAAAGAAGTAATCATCAGTACATCAATATTATTTGTGACTTCTCATTATCAACTAAATCTGTGGACATCACTAGCTGCCAGCAGACAGATGGGACACAGGCTTTCCCATCTCCCACCGAGGAAACCTGCAGCCTTTCAGAAGATGCCCCCACCTCAGGGGTGGGTCACTTTGCCAAGGAAGAGGATGTTCTTACTGTCAAGCTCCATGATGAGCACCAGGAATGGCCTGTTGAACACCATCCTGAGAGTGCTCCTCTGGGCCGACCTGAACATGATGACCGTCCCTGTGGCTGCAGTCGCTTTGGTTCCCGACTCGTCCACCTCCACCACAGCCTTGTGCACCATCTGTGGAGAGACACAGGCATCACCGAGTCACCAGAGGCTGGCTGGTGTTCTCACAGGTAATGTCTTGTGGATACCACCATCCAAACATCCCATGCCAATGGACCACAAAGAAGGTAGGAAGCTAAGCACTTGAGCAGATGCTGGGCACCAGAGACTGTGCTCTGGGGTGACTGCATGTATGCATTTCATTGAGTTCTCATGTAACATTTCTGGGAGTGAAGGCAACTCTTCTGTTTTATAGATGAGGGAAAAGGTGTCAGAGAGGTTGAGGAACTTGTCGGAGGTCACACAGCTAGGAAGTGAAGGAACTAGCACTAGATACTTAGTTTTGATTGTTTAATACAGGACTCCTTCCCCTTTGACACAGGGGTTATATATGGCTTCCTATGACATGGAGATAAGATGCAGTGAAATCCATGCTTCTTTCTTAAAGGAGAAGAGGAGAGAGAGTGAGCAGAGAAAGAGAGACAGAGACAGAGTGTGGGAGAGAGATGTTCTCTGAAAACAAATGTTCAGGGGCTTCCAGACTCACCTCAGAAACATGAATGTTTGAGTGGTTGGTGATGCCACGCAGGTCAGCTTGGGTGGTGAATACCTCTTGGATCCCCAGCTTGGGGAGAGCTTTCTCCAGCTGATACGAACCCGTGATGGAGAATCTGGGCAGGTAAAGCTGGAGCTGCCTGGAAAGAGAAAAGGACCTTTCTTAGATTCTTCTAGAATATCGACTCCCTGGACTCATGTTCCTGTCATTCCCCAATGCTTCCTCTGATACCTTGTTTGTTCACTGCCCTCATCCAGGCTGGAGCCCACTCCACTCTGGACCTGGACTTGAGAGCTGTCTCAGAGGAGGTCACTGCCCACTCCAGCATCACCCCATGAAACTCAACTACCATCCCTGGTCCCTTCAGCTGAGCCAGCCTCCCAGGTCGGGACTTCCCATGAGGCTACTCCCTTGATGGGGGAGTCCTACCCGCCACAACTTAAGACAGAACATGTCTCCCTGGGAAGTGTCTATTGTCACTAGTCTGGAGGTACCTCTTTCTGAACATCTTGAACCACTTCTGCAGTGTTTTCTCGTTCAGTCCATTCTCCACTTGCTCCATGGAACCTACGTTGGGGAGAATGAACAGAGCAGTGGCATTGCCTTGGTAGGGGATGCCCACCACCCTGCAGGAGAGATTGTGGTCCTGGAGGAAGTAGTACAGGTCTTCACGGTTCATCATGGGCACTTCCACCACTGTCTCTGCACTCACATAGAAGCTCTTCTCCTGGGTGTTTTTGTGGTTGAAGCTTGTCTCCCATTTAGCTAAAGATATAAATGGAAAAGAAAAATTGAAGATTTTGTGCAAGAATTAGCTGCAAATGAACAAGAGTGGAGATAGCAAACATGCAACAAAGACGATCATCTCTAGGGCCTTGTTGTTAGTGCAGTCACAGCTGAGCTCTTGAGTAGAAAGACAAGTTCCTTTCTAACTTGGGGATGTCCATTAACTTTTTATTTTATTTTATTTATTGTGATTTGGGTGAAGATTTACAGAGCAAATTCACTTTCCATACAGCAGTTCACATATACTTTGTCTCATGTCATTGACCACAGTTTACAAT